AACCCGCCAATAACCCGCAAGCCCCCACCCACCCTATGGTCACCCGATCCAAGGCTGGCATCTTCTGTCCTAAACAAATCCTCAACCTTAACACTATGGCCACAATCTCCCCCATACCCCCTACCTACCGTAGTGCTCTTAAAGACCCTAACTGGTACAATGCTATGCTAGATGAATATAATGCTTTGATAGATAATCATACATGGGATTTAGTACCCCCCCCTCCCCTGACCAAAACATTATCTCCGGGAAATGGCTCTTTCGCCACAAACTTGGTCCTACAGGTGAACTGTCCAGGTACAAAGCTCGATGGGTCGTCTGCGGATTCACTCAACGTCATGGCATCGACTACGACGAGACCTTCAGCCCGGTTGTCAAACCTGCCACTATACGCATCGTCTTGAGCCTTGCTGTGTCCAGAGGATGGCCGATTCATCAGTTTGATGTCAAGAATGCCTTTTTTAAAGGGTACCTCACTGACACTGTTTACACTGCTCAGCCTTCAGGATTTCAGGATCCTGCTCGCCCACATTATGTATGCAAATTAAATAAGGCACTCTATGGACTCAAACAGGCACCCAGGTCTTGGTACCAGCGATTCACCGACTTCGTCCTCTCTCTTGGTTTCAGCGGATGTAAGAGCGACACCTCCTTGTTTGTCTTCAGTCGCGGCCAGGACATGGCTCTATTTTTGCTTTATGTTGATGACATTGTCCTTACAGCATCATCCACTGCCCTCCTTCAGCAGCTCGCAGGACGACTAAAAGGGGAGTTTGCTATGACAGACATGGGTGACCTCCACTTCTTTCTTGGGATCAATGTTCAGTGGACCTCTCACAGCCTGTTCCTCACTCAGACTCAGTTCATCTATGACATCCTTGAACAGGCCGGCATGACCACGTGCAAGCCCGTTTCTACACCCGTGGACACCCGCGGGAAACTCTCGGCCACCACCGGCGATCCAGCACCAGATCCCTCTCTCTATCGGTCCATTGTGGGAGTCCTGCAGTACCTCACTTTCACCCGCCCGGATATTACCTACGCCGTCCAGCAGCTATGCCTCTTTCTTCATGATCCTCGTGTACCGCATGTTACAGCCATGAAGCGCGTTCTGCGCTACCTACACGGCACACCCACCCATGACATTACCATCTCACCCTCTCAGACAGATCACATGCGGGCATATTCCGATGCTGACTGGGCTGGCTGTCTAGATACTCGTCGGTCGACATCCGGTTACTGCATTTTTCTTGGCGACAATCTCATCTCTTGGTCCTCTAAGCGCCAGCTCACCACCTCTCGGTCCAGTGCTGAAGCAGAATATCGAGCCGTTGCCAGTGCCGTCGCTGAAGTCAGTTGGGTACGCAATCTTCTCCTAGAACTTTGGCAACCTTTGACCCGCTCTACATTGGTCTTTTGTGACAACATCAGTGCCGTATATCTCTTCGCCAATGCTGTCAAGCATCAACGTACGCAGCATATTGAGGTTGACATCCACTTTGTACGCGACAGATTAGCCCTTGGTCAGATAAGAGTCCTTCATGTACCTTCTTCCCTAGAGTATGCAGACATCTTCACCAAGGGACTACCCTCCATGGTCTTCTTCGAGTTTCGAGATTGTTTGGGCATGCGGCGATCTTCATTAGTGCCGTTGGGAGCATGTTAAACATATTATTTCTATATTTAATATTATTGTATATTGGTAGCTACCATATTTGTATAGGGTGTATTAATTATAGTTTCCTATTGTCATTAGGAAACCTTTGTATATATACACACATGTAATCTCCCATAACATTCATTGGAAATTATTCATTCTACAATTAATTGGACTTCCAACATTAATGTATTTTAATAACGGACCTCTCAAAATTAATTAATTAAATAAATTAATTAATGATTGGGATGGATCCGGAAGTTTGAAAATAAAGTTTTGAGAAAAATATTTTGAAGATATCAAAAATTTAGATTTGACTGTTTATTTCCGAAAACACAGTCGGTTTTCAATTCGGCAAGTATGGGGGAAAACCGCGTACCGTTCAGGTCAGAATTTACACAACGGAGTGAGATTTAGGGAGGTAACTCCCCAATATTAACTCACACGCCACAAACCCACTCATCACCATTCATTCTCCCATTTTAATTCCCATTACTCCTCCATTTAATTCTCCATTCATTCCCCTCCATTATAAACCCATGCGTGGAGGAGGAAGGCCGACAAAGGAGAAGGAGAGGAAGAAGAAGAAGGAAGTGCTGATTTTCGGAAGCAAAATCCCGTCAGTCTAATTTGGGCCGAATTTCGACCATCTTCAACCCAGTTTTTGGTCGTGGTTTCTTGACCAAAGTTGTAGCCCTGCGAGTCGGTGAACCACAACCGCAAATGGCTCGTCAATCGGACGCGTAACGAAGGCGATACGGCCGTTTTACCAAAACTGGTCCTGGAGCGACGGAAAACGCGAGGGTTGCAACTTCCGCCTTCATTCTCATTCCGTTTCGGCCAATCCGCTATTCGTCGAATGCGTGCCGACTCTTCATAACCCCTATAACATATTCGCAAGAAGAAACGGAACTCAAGAAGCCGTTTGGAAGTCGGAAGGTCAAGGGTTTGACGACCGTTCGTTGACGTTGATTCATTTGGTTCCTTCAAACGTTGTGTCGTATCCGAGGTATGTACACCCTAGATATAACGGAGGAATCTTTAATATATTTATATGCGAATACGTTTGTTGTTTATATGATTATTTGTATATAGATTCATATCATGATATATTCTTGATCTATTAAACGTTGCGTAGAGAATAACGAGGATTACAACCGTTATGAAATAGAATGGTTATACAAGGATAAATGGATGTTTGACTCAAATATAAAAAATAAAGATTGTGAAATAAAAGTGGTAAAATGGTTATATTATGAAGAATATGGTTAGGCTTGAGGAAATACCAATGAATATCGTAATAGCATCACTTGATATGTATAAGTGAATAAATTTGACATGCGAATGAACAAGTTGGAAAACACCTAGACCACACTTAGACAATTACATGAACACGAAAATCCGTGCCCAAATATATGTGTTGTACATGTATGAGCGAATGTGTATTTGTTTCTTTATATGCTCTACTACTTGGCATAACCTTCGTTGAAACCGTATGATCGTAGTTTTCCCGTTATAAAGATATATGGTATGACACTCGTTAAATAAATCACCTATCAACCCGTTGGCATGAATAGGTACTACATATATGTTTACATTGTCATCTTGAATGTTCATTATAATTTTCAAAAGGTTAAACGTAATTCGACAGACCAAAGTAGAACCCGAGTACTGTGATAGTAGACTGTCAAATTCTGATAATCTACTATCAGGTGCTGCTGAACTCTGATAGTCGATTATCACAAAGTGACAATCGATTATCAGAGGCTGCGGAACATTTGATAGTCGATTATCACTTGGTGATAATCGATTATCAAAGGCTGCAGAAGTTTGATAATTGATTATCAACAAGTGATAATCGATTATCAGGGGCTGCTGAACTTTTAGAAAGATCCAAAATCAAAGTGTTTTCAAGGTAAGAATCAACAATTGAAATATGGATTAAAAACCGAGACTTAGCTTTCAATATAAGTCTTCGAAATCATAAGTCATGCCTCTCTGAACTCTGGTTTCCTGGACAAATCAACAAGACAATCGATTGTCATAAGGTAACAATCGACTATAACAGTCTGCAGAACTTTGTGAACAGAAGCTGCACAGCTTCATAATCGATTATCAACAATGGGTAATCGATTATTAGCCAGTTCTGAACCCAGGGCCATCATGTGGAACAAATCATTTCCATGCGGAATCAAACTAATATGTATGCGTTGAACTTAACTTTATTCTTCAAGCAATGCATTCATATCATCATGTATATCCTAGACGCATGTTTAGGATCATGGCATACTTTGCATACCGCGACAAGAGGTCAGGCCTAGTGCGCCTCTTTCGCGGGCCCGTCCAAGAGCCTGCGGGATCCAACGGGTTTTCATCACGAGGGCTTGTGTATGTACATGGTAGCTAGGCTTAGCTATCACCCACATTTCTAGTCTCCATCGGGAGACTAAGGCGTTCCTCGGCTCATCTACCGCGTGGGGATGATCACCGAAGGGCAGGAGTCCCTGCGTAGTCTAACTCATGCATCATGAATCATTTGACATAGCATCGTTTGTAAGTAATTATACAAATCTCAATTATCAACTGTATGTGGTATTTCAAAACGTACCGCACTTCATATCCAACAACGTCGACGACAAGGCCAAGGTATTTATGTTTGGATAATATTCCAAAATGAATCTCCATGTTATGTATATGTGTTTCTTGTGTCTTGTGCTATCTACTAGGGAAGCATGAAAATTATGTGGCCAATGTGTTGCATGGTATTTAAGTATAAATATGTTATCGATCTCTCGCATTATCGTACCACTCAGCTTTATGCTGAGCGTGTAGTCTTTTTGTCTACACGTAGGTTGAAGCACAGATTATGTGAACCACCCGGAGGACGAAGAGACGATAGGATGGCAGGTTGACATGCATGATTTTCCACAAGCATTGCATTTGAAGTTTTGGGTTTGACCCACATCATTGTATTTGTATTATTTTAAGTCTTCCGCTACCTCCGACATTTTGTAAAAGGATTGATCCAAATTTCGTATTTTTTTGTTTTATGAATTTTATTTAATGATTTTGAAAAGTTTTAAAAATATATCTCCCGTTTCACCTTAATTCCTATAATTCCGGGTTATACGAGTTGGGGTGTTACATTTTGGTATCAGAGAAAAGGTTTTAAATTCGGTCTTCTGACCATTTGAAAACATGCATTTTCAAACTGCATTTGCATCCTAGTATCGTCTCCCGTCTCCGGAAAGGTAAATATGCTACGTGCTCATTTGGTTAAAAGTTTGACTTTACATGCTTGTTAGATGAGTACTGTTGGCATCAAAAGCGTGTCAAGCATTGACTCCAATAGGACTTTTGTGCTCGGTAAGAGACGAAAGAACAAGAGGAAGGTATACGACTCCAAGGAGCGCTACCGGCGTGCGCATCGTAAGGCAAGGATAACAAAACTGAAGATCTGGAAACGCCGGAAAGCGGCGTGGGAAAGAGATGACCCTGAGGAAACATTCAGCATGGACTCTGCTAATAGTATCTGCGGCAGAGGTGTGGATATTCCTCCAGTGGACTCAGCCCGACTTGACTAGTGGGTTATTTGCTAACTTATGGCATAGTCGAGGTTGTAACCGATGCAACATTTTGCCCCACTTGTCTGAACCAAATAATAAGTTTCTTGAATAAAATCCAGCGATTGCTCCTTAATCTATTATGCCCTTGTATGCTCCATAAAAGAAAGTAAGTGCGCTTTTGAGAAACCAACCGGTGATATAAATGAACCCGAATGGGAAATGCCGACAAACTCATGACTCACTCTTTGAGTTACATCCAACAGTCTAGAACAAACACTTACGCGAATACAAGTACGTTCGAAGCAAAAATGCTATGGAGACCAAAGGCGGCAACGACATTGCTATGTTCGTTCTTATTATCATTGGGTGGTAGGCCTTGTGGTAGTAACCAAGCCATCATTCAAACAAACCCTCCCAAGATGAGAATCCTTATGACATCGTCAACTACCCGTAATCAACTGAAGGGTTGAGCAAGTATTATGCTTAACGGTCTCCCACACGAGCGATGGGCCGACATCGAACGAATAGAAAAGATCTCTCGTGGAGGTTGCGAGTAACCTTAGTGGGTTATGTAGTTAAATGGAACCTTCCGTGGAAGAAACTACAACAATGGGAAACCACCAAGCCTATAAAGAAATCCATCGTATCAGTGACAACTCAAGCAAACTTGAACCACTAGGAATGTTGGAAACATGAAGACAACGACCGATAAGGTAGAATCACTCGCACAACGACTTGTGAAGGACAACTGTGAGCACTACATTCCGAGGCTCGGAGGTACTCTTCCATAGAGCATGGCGATGCACACCCATAACATGTGAGCCGAAGAACCTTGCGGTTAGAGTAAGAGTTGATTGTCAAAAGAGAAGTTGACTTGACCTAAACATTGACTTATTTTACAACGTCACCTGTCACACCATCAAGAGGAAGGAAGCGAACAAACCCTTCGTCGAACACCTTAATTGAACTACGAATTGAACTTATATGATTGGTAGGGACATCACAATAATGACCCAATTACTTTCTTGAATTCTTTGTTAGGGCGTACCAATTTGTCGGCAACGTAAGAGGTAACACTTCTCCATATATGACCATGATGACAACTGCTTATGGAACCAAGAAGACAAAATATATCAAAAGTTATTGAAATGCTCCAAGGCAAGTGTTTAACGAATGCTCCTTCAAAGGAAACTATTCCTTGACATCCTTAAATCGTGACAGCGTAATTAATGATCTTGGTGTAACTTTGTGCATGTGCACCGTCCCATTCTCAACATAGGTAGGCGAACTAACATTTACGACTAGAACCATGCATTGGAGTGCACAGCAGTGCCAGTTAGAACTCCATTTCCATCCACCAGTCGAGTTGAACGTAATGATTGACATAGTAAGGAAAAGTCGTTATTGTTATCAACATTAACCTTGATTCCAACTCGCAAACGAAACCTAGAAAAGATCACTTATCTAGTTACTTTTTTGTTAAAGATACATTTTAGGTGTTTTGCAAAATAGTAATTCAGTGGGTAACAGTAAAACAAAGTTTTGGGTAACGCACTATCTCCCTAAACACGTGAGGTGTGACTTGAGGAGAATTTCGGGGACGAAATTCTTTTAAGGGGGAGATAATTGTAACGCCTTGCAAATCAGCCTAATATTTAGCCAATATTTTAAATAAATAAATATTATTTATTTATTGAGACTCATTATTTTAAATAATAAATACTGAAATTTCGATATCATTAAATGGACTTCCAAAGTTAATGTATTTTAATAACAGACCTCTCAACATTAATTAATTAAATAAATTAATTAATGATTGGGATGGATCCGGAAGTTTGAAAATAAAGTTTTGGGAAAAATATTTTGAAGATACCATAAATTTAGTTTTGACTGTTTATTTCCGAAAACGCAGTCGGTTTTCAATTCGGCAAGTATGGGGGAAAACCGCGTACCGTTCAGGTCAGAATTTACACAACGGAGTGAGATTTAGGGAGGTAACTCCCCAATATTAACTCACACGCCACACACCCACTCATCACCATTCATTCTCCCGTTTTAATTCCCATTACTCCTCCCTTTAATTCTCCATTCATTCCCCTCCATTATAAACCCACTCCTCTCCCTTCCATCCCTCCATCATTTTGTAACCCACCAACAATCCAACTCCCTCTCTCTCTCCCTTGATTTGACGGACAGCAGCGGCGCATGCGTGGAGGAGGAAGGCCGACAAAGGAGAAGGAGAGGAAGAAGAAGAAGGAAGTGCTGATTTTTGGAAGCAAAATCTCGTCAGTCCACTTTCGGCAGAATTTCGACCATCTTCAACCCAGTTTTTGGTCATGGTTTCTTGACCAATGTCGTAGCCCTGCAAGTCGGTGAACCACAGCCGCAAACGGATCTTCAATCGGACGAGTAACGAAGGCGATACGGCCGTTTTACCAAAACTGGTCCTGGAGTGACGGAAAACGCGAGGGTTGCAACTTCCGCCTTCATTCTCATTCCGTTTCGTCCAATCCACTATTCGTCGAATGCGTGCCGACTCTTCACAACCCCTATAACATATTCGCAAGAAGAAACGGAACTCAAGAAGCCGTTTGGAAGTCGGAAGGTCAACGGTTTGACGACCGTTCGTTGACGTTCATTCATTTGGTTCCTTCAAACGTTGTGTCGTATCCGAGGTATGTACACCCTAGATATAACGGAGGAATCTTTAATATATTTATATGCAAATACGTTTGTTGTTTATATGATTATTTGTACATAGATTCATATCATGATATATTCTTGATCTATTAAACGTTGCGTAGAGAATAACGAGGATTACAACCGTTATGAAATAGAATGGTTATACAAGGCTAAATGGATGTTTGACTCAAATATAAACAATAAAGAGTGTGAAATAAAAAGTGGTAAAATGGTTATATTATGAAGAATATGGTTAGGCTTGAGGAAATACCAATGAATATCGTAATAACATCACTTGATATGTATAAGTGAATAAATTTGACATGCGAATGAACAAGTTGGAAAACACCTAGACCACACTTAGACAATTACATGAACACGTAAATCCGTGCCCAAATATATGTGTTGTACATGTATGAACGAATGTGTATTTGTTTCTTTATATGCTCTACTACTTGGCATAACCTTCGTGGAAACCATATGATCGTAGTTTTCCCGTTATAAAGATATATGGTATGACACTCGTTAAATAAATCACCTATCAACCCGTTGGCATGAATATGTACTAAATATATTTTTACATTGTCATCTTGAATGTTCATTATAATTTTCAAAAGGTTAAACGTAATTCGACAGACCAAAGTAGAACCCGAGTACTGTGATAGTAGACCGTCAAATTCTGATAATCTACTATCAGGTGCTGCTGAACTCTGATAGTCGATTATCACAAAGTGACAATCGATTATCAGAGGCTGCGGAACATTTGATAGTCGATTATCACTTGGTGATAATCGATTATCAAAGGCTGCAGAAGTGTTATAATTGATTATCAACAAGTGATAATCGATTATCAGGGGCTGCTGAACTTTTAGAAAGATCCAAAATCAAAGTGTTTTCAAGGTAAGAATCAACAATTGAAATATGGATTAAAAACCGAGACTTAGCTTTCAATATAAGTCTTCGGGATCATAAGTCATGCCTCTCTGAACTCTGGTTTCCTGGACAAATCAACAAGACAATCGATTGTCATAAGGTAACAATCGACTATAACAGTCTGCAGAACTTTGGGAACAGAAGCTGCACAGCTTCATAATCGATTATCAACAATGGGTAATCGATTATTATCCAGTTCTGAACCCAGGGCCATCATGTGGAACAAATCATTTCCATACGGAATCAAACTAATATGTATGCGTTGAACTTAACTTTATTCTTCAAGCAATGCATTCATATCATCATGAATCATTTGACATAGCATCGTTTGTAAGTAATTATACAAATCTCAATTATCAACTGTATGTGGTATTGCAAAACGTACCGCACTTCATATCCAATAATGTCGACGACAAGGCCAAGGTATTTATGTTTGGATAATATTCCAAAATGAATCTCCATGTTATGTATATGTGTTTCATGTGTCTTGTGCTATCTACTAGGCAAGCATGAAAATTATGTGGCCAATGTGTTGCATGGTATTTAAGTATAAATATGTTATCGATCTCTCGCATTATCGTACCACTCAGCTTTATGCTGAGCGTGTAGTCTTTTTGTCTACACGTAGGTTGAAGCACAGATTATGTGAACCACCCGGAGGACGAAGAGACGATAGGATGGCAGGTTGACATGCATGATTTTCCACAAGCATTGCATTTGAAGTTTTGGGTTTGACCCACATCATTGTATTTGTATTATTTTAAGTCTTCCGCTACCTCCGACATTTTGTAAAAGGATCGATCCGAATTTCGTATTTTTTTGTTTTATGAATTTTNTATATGTGTTTCATGTGTCTTGTGCTATCTACTAGGCAAGCATGAAAATTATGTGGCCAATGTGTTGCATGGTATTTAAGTATAAATATGTTATCGATCTCTCGCATTATCGTACCACTCAGCTTTATGCTGAGCGTGTAGTCTTTTTGTCTACACGTAGGTTGAAGCACAGATTATGTGAACCACCCGGAGGACGAAGAGACGATAGGATGGCAGGTTGACATGCATGATTTTCCACAAGCATTGCATTTGAAGTTTTGGGTTTGACCCACATCATTGTATTTGTATTATTTTAAGTCTTCCGCTACCTCCGACATTTTGTAAAAGGATCGATCCGAATTTCGTATTTTTTTGTTTTATGAATTTTATTTAATGATTTTGAAAAGTTTTAAAAATATATCTCCCGTTTCACCTCAATTCCTATAATTTCGGGTTATACGAGTTGGGGTGTTACAGCAACTTTCATTCTTTTCCAACTCCTATTAGTGTTGTTCTTCACCATGTCCATTAAGTCCCTAAATGATTTTGTATTGATATCGTATCATGTCCAATCAGAAGTACTCCTTAGAATCATGGAAGCATATGTGCACCACTAGAAC